ACCACACATTGCATCATTTTAATAAATTAATTAGTAAAATATACTCGACTTGTTGCAAGTTCCTATGTCGTTAAAATGCCGTATCGGATCGTATCACTTCGACCAAGTGGTACTTTCCACGCCCATTCTACGCATACGTGTTCTTGAAAATATAATCGAATATTTCTTACATAGATAAAAATATAATGAAAATAAATGTAATTGGAAATACAAAATAAAATATTTACATTAAATGAAACTAAAAACATTATTTACATAATACAAATAACCGAATAACAAGTACAATAAAATCATACATAAATGAATAAAATAAAATATTCACAAATGTCAGGGATAAATTCGAACATTAACAAAAATACCTAACATATAAAATCAAGGACTAAAATGAAACTATTACAAACATCGGGACCAAAGTCAAGTATCCACAAAAATGACATAATATACATTAGTAGGACTAAAATATAAACAAGGAAACATAGATGCCCAAAACAAAAGAAAATAAAATAGACATTAAACCAAATATATTAAAAAAACAGAAAATGACTAAAATAAAAGCAATTAGAACTTGAAGCCAAAAATTCAAAAATTCAAAGTTATATCCAGTGATTAAAATAAAATAATTACACAATATGAGATCAAATCCAAATATCCACGAAAGTAGTATAATACAAAAGAGTAAGGACTAAAATGAAATAAACAGAAACATAAAAGATCACAAAGTAATTAAACCAAACATCAAACAATGACTAAAATAGAATATATACGAATATGGTGACCAAATTCAAATAACAGTAAAGATAATAAAATGCATGGGATCAGTGATTAAATTGAAATATTTGAAAATATTAAATCCAGAATCAAAATATAGACAAATATGATATAAAACATGAACAGTGACTAATATATAACATTTGCAAATTTCATGACCAAATCCGAATATCAAAGGAAAATGCACAATAAACTGAAACAGTGACTAAAACGAACTAAATATAAATATCACAACCAAATTATAATACCAGCAAACATAATATACAAATTAATGACTGAGATGCAATCATTAAAAAACTAAAAGGCTCGAAATAAAACAGTAATAATTTCATTAAATGACTTAAATAAAGTATTACAATGGAGAAGGGACCTAAAGTGTAGTTACCCCATGCTTGCAAAACACGGGTGCCCAGACCCTTGAAACGGCGGCGTTTTGGTTGGGGAATATAAGCCCAAAACGGGCTTTCTTTCCTCTCCACTTTCTCATTTCTCTCCTTTCAGCCGAAGCAGAGAAGAGAAAGAGATTTAGAAATCTCTCAACCTCTCCTCGTCGGGGAGGGGAGCCACGACAGAGCTCACGGTGGTGAGTGGCGGCGCACGACGACGCCGGTGGTCGGAGGAGGTCAAAAGAACCCTAAAATGTTCCTCTCCTTCCCCTATACTCGAAAAAACACCCCATTCGACCTAAAGTCAACCCTAAATCCCTAGATCTAGGTGGTTACCTTCGAAAGAAAGAAAGAGCACGACGAATTTCAGGCCTCCACGGCCTCGAACCACGGTGAGATACCTCTCTCTATCTCTATTTTCTTTTTTCTCTCCAAAACCCGAATCCCCCCCTCTCTCATTGCCTGTTGAATTTTTTTTTATCCTCCCCCCCTGGATGAGATGATGATATCTAGAAAAAATAGGGGATGGGTCTCACTGACTTTGCATGATTACATCCCGATTTTTCGGGGTTTAACTTGTTTTTAAATGGGTTCTCGGATTTAGGCTACTGTAGATGAAATATAGACTGATTTGGTGATATGTTTCACTGTAGATGACGATGGTGGTGTGGTAACAGTGACTAGATCATCGGAGTGGGCCGGAACTTGCGGCGGCGACGCGACATTTCCTCTGTTGAGGGCGACGGCTACTGAACGGTTAGGGTTTTAGAAACCCTAGGGAACTGAGTTGGGTCACTAGTCGGGGCTAGAATTGGTATTGGGCCTGAACCGGGTCTGGGCTCCAGCTTGTTGGGTATGCTGCGGGATTGGGCCAGTTCATTTGTATCTGCTGTTGGGCTTAGGGATTAGGCCTACAAAAATATATATGTAACATAATTAATAATAACAATAAACAAAATAATAATAATAAATAATAATAATAAATAAAAAGACCCGGACAAAAACGGGTGTCTACAGAGACGATTACCGCGCTGCATGCGGTGATCTTTGCGACTGATATGGGTTTTCTGTCGGTGACTTTTGAGGGTGATTCCAAGAAGGTAATAGAGAAACTCAACTCTAGATCCCCTAATTTTTCTGAAATTAGTGCGTTGATTTGGGAGATACAATGGCGGTCAGAATCCTTTTTTGCATGTTCGTTCAACTTCATTCCCATGGAAGGAAACATGGTGGCTCAACGCATAGCAGCCATAGTAACAAATTACGGTTGCGAATTTTGTTAAGGATGCGGTGTCGCAGTTGCGGATACTGCGGACGTTACGTAACGTGTTGCGGCTGTCGCGGACGTGATCTCTTCCTCAAAATTCACAATACGTCTAAAATATTATATTTATACATTTTACAGTTATCTTTTAATATATTAATATTAATATACTTTTTTAATATTTTATTTTGAAAATTAAAAATTTAATTTCATTGATAAAAAATTATTAAACAAAAATATAAACCATAGAAATGTTATCATATTGGATAATGGGTAATAACAATTATAATGTTAATGAATAACATATAAACAATATCACTAAAATCATATCATTTTTTTTATATTTTAACATAAAAATGTTCATTTTACATAACTTAGAAAAAAATACATAACTACAAATATAAAATTCTATATCTTACAGTTTACCACTAAAATGAATGACATGGCGGATCTAAATCATTTTTCATCTTCGTCATTGTCTTGGTTTTGATTTCTTCCTATTCCATGAGAAGAAGACATCACATTATGTGTATCATAATGCATCATTGGTAGGAAACATGTTGTGTGATAAATGATGACAAAAAAATCCATAACTTGGATTTTGTTCAAAGTAAGGTGGATAACATGAATTTAGATGGTAAGAATGGGAACCATGAGATGATTCACTAATCTCATTATCATTTGTTGCTCAACTATATGATGATGAACCTGCAAATGAATCATAAAAGTGTTCTCCCATCCTCCTATGAGTTCTATCATCATCATCTCTTCTATTCTGTGATGCATTTGTTCTATACAAACCTGAATTATCATCGAAAGGATATCTGGACGTACCATAATCTCCATGAAAAATAGTATAATAAATGTGTTCATATTCTGGTTAGTACGTGCCTTCATTATCACTATCATGATTATCACAATCACCACCATCATCGTCGTTGTCATCGTCATCATCATCATAACTTGACATTAATAGTTGAATGTTTTTCTTATTAGATGGAATAGGTGAATCGTTCATAGTAAATAAATAAAATACATTAACTATTATAGTATTATAAAGTGAATTTCTCTCTTATACAAAATTTATATAATAATAAATAAACATATAATTATGATACTTAATGTTAATATAAAATTAATCACGTCAATTTTAGATATGAGAAAAATTCAATTTAAATTAATTTAATTTTAAAATAACATTAATAAATAATTTAATTAATTCAAATTTAAGTAATTAATTTTAAACATAACTATTACGATATTATTAATGATATATATTTATAATACAATTTTAAGAATTAAATTAGAACAATTCGTCTATGAAATTTTATATTTCATATAATATAAAGTTTGTTGCGGTGCAATTTATAGCGTGTTGTGGTTTTACGTAACGGTTTTTGACCGATTGCGTCACGGCAACCTTAAAAAACATTACGATATGGGTGTTACGCTTTGTTGTGGCCGCAACTTAGTACTATGAGTAGCGTCGGTCCCTAGTCTTGACTCGGATGATATTTTCTTGGTGGAGGAAGCACTGGAATGCGTTGAGATGAAGGCGACAGAGGACAGACGCTGGATTGATCCTCCTTGATTAGCTTCAAAGGTCACCAGGTTCTTTTTAGGCTTTATTTTTTTCTCAACTTTCCTCGCCGGCATCGAATCACTGGCTTCTTTTATATTGATGCAAGGGAATGAACGACCAACTCAGTTCCATCTTTTCTTTTGCTTTCAAGACGTTCCATTAAATGTTTTGTTTCATGTTTTATGTTGTTTGAGTGGGTCTTATCTGGATTCCATGAATGGTTTTGCTTTAGATGTTTTTTAGGTGTGTTAATAAATGCAGAGCTAGCGTTACTGATTCACAAAAAAAAACTTTAGAAGTGAAGCTCTCTCTTCTCTGCATATTAACCCTCATAACCCTAAACTAAACACAATCCTTCATCGATCACCTTCATCTTTCACTCTCCTCAACTACCAGTCATCTTCTCCGACATCAATGTATGCTTTTTTCACATGGTGGAGGCGTAACAATAATACTTGTTGTACGTGACGATGATAATATGGTTAGAAAATCTAGACATTGACAATGGTGATAATGATGAGAGATACTTCAAAAGCATAGGGATTGAAGAAATTGTTGGGGGTTTTGTTGAAAACAACGTTCAAAATTGCCGTTGGTGTGAGTTTGACACATATAGAAGAAGGAATAAGAAATGAATTAGGCGAGAAACAAAATTAATATAATATTAAAAATTAAAAAATTAAAATAAAATGTAAAAATTGAAGGTTACGTTTCTTATTATATCAATTTTATTTATTATTACATCATCTCAAATATTTTTTTTTATTAACAATAAATTTTAAATAATAATGAATCAAAGTTAAAAGAATTGATAAAAAAATCAACAATAGACAAATTTAATAAGACATAGAATAACATTTTACGTTGAACTTAAAATATAATGTTTTTTATTAAGCAATATATTAGGTTAGACAGCAAAAACACCCACTACGTTGACACTGATGCGAACCGAAGTTTGAGAAAAAGCTAGACAATATTGGCCTAGTTGGAGATGAAAATGTATCAAAAGTAACAGAAGAATAAGTAAGCATATCCAAAAGTCACTGAAACTGGAAACATAATGTTCACGTCATACCCTAAAAAAGGAAAGCCCAACTAAAACCCTGTCATACTTGGAAATTGAATGATCAAAATCACATCCACAAATACTTTAGAATCTGCTGGCATTTAACTACTGACCAAAATGCCAAAACCTGAGGGCACACTTAGGCTACAATGGAAGGCTTGGATGCAGCGGAGAGCCTGGATCTCTTCTTGGCCAAGCTCTCACTCCTGCGCTCACGCTGCTCCTTTAACCTCTGGGCAAGGAGTTTCTGGTACTCGGCAGCATCGGCCTTGGCCTTTGCAACTCTCTTCTTCTTCTCTGCAATTCTGGCACGCTTTCTCTGCAAGGTCAAAGGAGTCACCAGCCTCTGAATTTTGGGAGCCTTGCTTACTTTCTTACCTGCATTCCAAGAAAGTGATGACAGCTTCCATCATTAACTTATAGGGACATATGCTCTCAAACAATATTTTATAAATGTAAAACTCCTTCGGGAAACTTAAGCTCAAACGATCACTTTGTACTAACCAGATTTGGTTGTAAAGGTCCTGCGATAAGTATTAACATACTTCCGAACATCATCCTCCTTGGAGAGGTTGAACAACTTCCTGATTTTCGATGCTCTCTTTGGACCCCTCATTCTTGGCTTCTCAGTGTCAGTCAATCCAGGAAGATCATTTTCACCCCTCTTCACAATGACCAAGTTCAGAACTGAAAGGTCCTGACTGACAATGCATCCACGAACTGACTTCCTCCTACGCTCTCCATTCCTTCTACCATACCCACGGAAGCAGGGAGTACCTGTTCAAAGAAAATTAGAAAACAGTTTTCAATGAACCAAAAATTCCATACAAGAAACACCTCTACAAATAAACAAAAAGGAAAGAAGTTCTGGAGTCCACAGACCTCTGTGAAGCAAAAGGCGAACTCGGCCAGGTGTGAGAACACCCTGCTTCATAGGAAAACCTTGCTTGTCACAGCCTCCCATGATCTTGAATACATAGCCCTTAAACTCCTGTTAAATGATATAATTGCAGTTATGAAGTCTACATGCACAAGCAGAAATTTAAGAGGAGAAAAGTTAGAAGTCATTAGGAAACATACCTCACCAAGGGCATCACCGCTGACTTCTTGTGAGATCCTCTTGTCAAAAAGGCTCGACTGCAATTTCAGATGTCAAGATGAGAAAATTTTCTTCATACACTGTTGCAACAAGAAAAATTACCCTTGCAAATACTATCACAATCACAACACGCAAAATGAGCAACCATGTTAGATGGTCTGTTTTCCTATGTTCTTTTAACCTTGTTAAATACAAATTAACTATATCCAGCAAGTTATTCCACCGGAATACTACATTATAAGTCCGATCTTCATATCCATTAGCTGATGCTTTGTTTTGCAAGATTTAGGAAATATAAACAATTAATTAAGCATACCACATGAAAAGAATATCCATGGTTTCAGCAGTATAAATAGAGGCAACATTGATCTAGTTCAAAACAAAGTCTAAATCTACAACTCAAGATCAATGTTAAACACAAAAGAGATAATAAAAATTTAAAACTTCCATTTTCACAGTTGCATAAAATTAAACCTTAAATAACAAATATACAAATTCCATTAGAAAATAAAAAACATTTTTAATTTGCTTCAACCTATTTTACTTCTCACATTCTCCAAATACTCTGCAAAATATAATTCCACCCAAATAAAATAAATACAAGAAAGCTCTGAACATAGATTGGCAAAAGACATGCCTTTTTCTTCATATGGCTCTTTTCATGGTTAAGATAACAAGAACAGAATTTGACACTAATATTGAACTCAAAATAAACTAAACTTAACCAAACTAATATTTGTATGTACAGAGAAAGAGAAAGAGAGAGATAGAGGAATATACAGTTTCTGGTCATCATCAATTTCCAGCTTTTTCTGGCAACCAGTGGTTGGATCTGCAATGTTGAACTGGAACAAACAACAACTAAAGTTAAACACAAATGAAAAGAATAAACAAAAAATGAGAAAAAGAAGGAAAAGTATTGAAAATTATTTAATTTTCTTAGGAAAATAAAAGAAACCTTCATTTTGGTTTGATGGGTCTTCCGAGTTACAACTCTGAGAAAGAGATGCCGCTGCTCTTCTCTAGCTAGCTGACTTCTAAGGTTAGGGTTTCGTTCGACAAGGTCAAGATGGAATTTTATATATATAAAGGAAATAATACAGTGTTATTAGGGAACACCATAACTTTAGTTTGGGTTAAACTAGATTCATACACGTGGAACTTTCATGGGTCCAGATTTTGTAATTTGGGCTTTGGGTTATCATGTTAAATGGATTTGTTTGGACCCAGACAGCTACACCTACCCAACGTTATTTAAATAGTATATATGCGTAATTTTCTTAGTCCAATAATAATATAGTTATTTGATCAAATTTAATTTACCATTTTTTCGTTGATCATTACGGTGCTGATGTGACTATTCACAGTGGTTGATGATCTGACAGATGATATGATAGATAGCTAAATTATTATTTTTTATTTTATTCGACAATTAAATTGATTTTTTAAAAGTTTAAGGGTTTATTTAATTAAAAAAAATAAAAACTATTTTAAATTATAAATATAAAAATATTCAAAATAAAAAAATATTCAAATAAAAAAATATACATATAAAAATACTAAAAATACAAATTAAATTATTAAAAAATTAAATATACACATTAAAAATAATACAATTATTACAAAAAATTAAAAAATGAATATATATAATATGTTATAAAATAATTACTTATAAATTATTAAAAAATTTAAAAAATATTTTTAAAAAGATATATTATTCATAACATATACATGTAACACATAGGCATATCATCAACACTTATACAAGTATTCTTATTGGATTAATTGAGAATTACAAAATTTAAATTAATCTAGACTTATAACTTTTGGATAAGTCAAGAAACTTATTATGTTTTCTAATTATCTTTTTGTAAGTCTCGGCTAATTTAAAAGATAATTATATAATAAGTTTCAACATAAAATATAATTATAAAACATAGTAAGTTCCAACTAATTCAAAATTTATAAGTCTCGAGTAATTTAAATTTTGCAAGTATTGATTGCTCTAGCAAGAATATTTTGAATAAGTGTTGATGATGCCTATATATTACATGTATATATTATGTATAATATATTTTTTAAAATTAATTTTTAATTTTTAATAATTTGCAAGTTATCATTTTATAACGTATCATATATATTCAAAAAATCAAATTTTTTATAATAGTTTTAGTATTTTTAATATGTATATTTTTTATATAACACACCAACCCGTATCTGACTCGGATCCTAGTCCAAGGTATAACATTGACTTTTCAAAACGTTTTTCTTAACAAATTGGCTAAAATTTAACTCCACAATTCAAGAAAACGAATATTTTACATTAATTAAAATCAATTAGTTTTAAAAAAACATGTCAGAGCATATTCAACTCCAATTTCTTAGTACATGCCAACTAAATTTAATATAACAAAGTATACATGATTCAAAATTCTTTTCTGATCTGAATTTCGTAAAAGAGAGGCTAACCTGTCTTGCTCATATTAGCTTCTTTTCTTGCTTCCCAGAACCTACGTGTGAAACACTCATACGCTAAGTCGATGACTTAGTGAGACATAAATAAACTTAACTATAACATTTCATTACTAATTCCTACTATGCACACTTCATGTAATCATACTAAACTAAAGAACACATTATGCATCAAAATGTAAATACTTACATATACTTATCATTTCATTATCCTTATTATTATTCTTATCATTATTAGCATTATTATCATTCATATCTCTTAGTTATAAGCTCTTGTACCTAACATTATTAACCAAACAATGTATGCATCATTATATAATTTCTGTAACACATTTCATATCACAAAAGCATATACATCACATGTAATATGTTTATTGTTATCTCTTTATTAGCCCATGTACACATGTGAGAACTAAAGATATGCGAGTACATAGAGGTTGTGCACTTATACTATCACCACAACTCGTATAATTCCCACTAGGGGCACATAGGATTTGTCGTGAAAGACCATATATAACACATATGTCCCGAATAACCACATATAACACATATGTCCCGAAGGACCACTCTTTAAGAACCACATGCATATTCCAATGGATCAAATAAGTGTACTGAAGTACCACATATATGTTCCAACATATATGTCCCGAAGGACCACATAGAACCCTCGACTCTTGGCATGCCAACTATACCTCTAGCTCTCATGTCACATAACATGAGCATTATCTTTTATATTTATCACATATTCACATAGTCACATAGTTCACTTACACATAGATCATTTTCATATAATTCACATGTTACATATATCACATGGTTTATATCTCTTAATCATTTGATCACATAACTTCTTATCACAAAGCTCATAGTCATATGACTTATTTCATAGTCATGTTTTCATATATTCACCTAGTCACATAGCTCATTCACATATACATGTTCTAATATAGTTCAGATCTTTTCTCACACAATCACATAATTCAATTATATTATACCAATATGCATTCACATAACTCATTTAACATACATAATATATCATGTAACTCATGCAATAACATGTGACATATACACTCATATTCATAAGCCCTAATATGGAAAATAGACTTACCACAAGTCTTATTTCCATCAAACATCATATATTAACTGATATGCACTAACCTGGCCTCCCTAGTCAATGCTGATCTGTTATCTCTTTCTCGATGACTATTACTTGGTCGACTTGTCCGGACTTTACTCTCGATCATTATCTACACGAATACACAATCCAATAAATATCAGAATTCAATTACTTGCAAAGATTCTTACTATTGCAAGCTAATCAAAGCACTAATCTCTAAATTCCAGCTCAAGTAGTATCGATACTACAAGCACAATATCGATTCCTCTATGCTTGTAGTATCGATACCCTTCCACAGTATCGATACTTAATTTTGATTCTTCCATCCCTATTTCAAAATGGTACCGATACCTGCTAGATGGTATCGATACCCACAGTATGGATACTGCTCATTTGGTATAGATACTCCCTGAACAATTTATAATTTTGTGCATTATGTTATCGACACTCACTCAACTTGTATCGATACCTATGCTTAAAATAACACTCATTTTCTCTTGGAAGTATCGATACTAGATGAACAGTACCGATACCCCTTACCCAGAATACACTTCTTTAACTCAAAAATCTTACCAAACTTACTTAATTCTTCTACCATAACCTCCTTTTAACCCTTTAAGCTTAACTACACTTATTCCAATCATCTTATATCCATATAACATATCATCATCTTTAATAACTCATCTTAATTCTTGAAACCAAGAATTTTACTAAATTTCCAACATGTTATTAATTCACTTCTATTACTTCTAATTTCTTAAGTAGATCACTGACAAGTCAAATATGACTTAAAAATCCATTTATAACTTTTTCTTCATCAAATCACTTAAAAACTCTTCATATTTAATCCTTCATAACTCATTCATCTTGGAGTTTCAACACATTTTAATCTCTAATTAAGCTTTCTTAACACACCAAGAATCAAAACTAAGCTTAAAACTCAAGAAATAATCATTTTACCAAAACTCACCTTTAAAATGAAGCTCACTGCAATGAGGGAGAAGAAGAGAACCAAGTCTCCAGACTCTTCTTTCCTTTTATCCCATTTCCACGTGTTTATATCCTATATAAAGGAAAATAAAAAATCTTCCTTATGAAATGACCATTATTCCCTCTCATTTCTCCAACTTTGCTAATCAATCCAACCTCAAAATTCTCTAATTAAGTCCCTAAACTTTTTAACTTATTTCAAAATTGAGCATAAAGTTTTCAAAATTTACATTTTAGTCATCAGCCCTGTTTTGGGATGTTACATTTTAGTAATTTAATTTTTATTTTAATATTTTATATATAAATTTTTGAATATTTGAATAATTTTGTATTTAAAATTTAAAATAATTTTTATCTTAAAAAATTAAATAAGCCCTTGAACTTAAAAAAATCAATTTAACCCTCGAACAAAATCAAAAAATCAAAAAATCAATTTAGTCAATTTATCATATTATATGAAGTCATCAACCACAGTGTACTACCACATTAATATCGTAATAATTAACAACAAAAAATGTTGGTTAAATAATCATATTGTATTTATTTTCTGAATTGAAAAACTACGTTGAAAAATAATAAGAAGAGAGTCGTATTAGTTTTTTTTTCAAATATAGATACATTTTTGACATGGAAAATCTTAGCTTTATTAACTTAAAAGTAAAGTATATTGTCTTAAATTTAACAAAAATCAGAGAAATGTAAATTGCAAAAACAAAAAAAAAATCAGAAACTCAAAATCCAAACACAAAAACACGAACATAAGCTCGGACAGTTCAACTTCCTTGATCAAAACACCCATATAAGCGATGATGAGAGCAGATCAAAGAGAGAATAGGACAATATCAGCAGCACAAGCCCATAAAAAAAGAGCAAAGGTGCAAAGCTCTAAGGAGGGTCGATCCACCGTCTATCACTATAACTGACTATTCTCGCTTCTCTCGGAGCATATTTAACCCACAAGCCTTCTTCTGTCTCGTCTTCCTCCTATACACATTGCATGCACCACCGAGTTTGCATACCAAGGCATAAAGTTGAAAATGCATGATTGGAAATACAAAGCAAAAGCTTTAGCATCACAAGTTAGAGGAAGAATTATAAAGGAATCATCTGAAAATGAGTGTAATTTGTGGAACACTGTTCTAGAATCTCCCTTGACAACAATGTTAGAAGGCCTAGATCGTGAGCAAAATGTAGACCTTGTAGCACCGCTAAGGCCTCTTGTTGAGTTAATCGAATGACGAAATTGGCTAAGAGGGGGGTGAATTGGCAATAAAAATTTTGTGGAAGCTTTTGCAGAAAATTGAAAGTAATTGCACAGCGATTTACAGTGGTTCGACTTTCTCAAACAAAGTCTACGTCCACTACCTTAGCTATCCACACTAAGGATTTTCCAACAAATTCACTAATTTGTTCTTTCTTTTGAGGCCAAAGAGATAACCTTACAATTCCCTCAAGAGTATACCCCAACT